GCACAAGGAACAAGAAGCATCGTCAATTGCATGGTGAAGATAACCGATTCGTGCACAACCAAGTCACCACCCCACTACTCACCGGAAGAAGAGCTCGACAACAGGACGCCTCGCCGCGAATCACTCCAGCCGAATCCGACGTACGCCGCCATCGCTCAAAGCGAACCATCCGGCCAAGACACTTGGTTCTTGGATAGTTGCTGCGTACAACACATGTGCTCCTCCGGGCGCTTCGTTCAACGCGAACATCGACTCCAGCGAGAAGTAGTCATCACGGTCGCCAACAATCAGAACCTGCGCACACGGCGACAAGGAGCGGTACAGCTTCAGTCACGAGAAACAAATGTCATATTACACATGTCAAAGGTACTTATCGCGGAGGGACTAGGCTACAACTTACTGAGTGTCAGCCAGCTGATGGCGAAAGGCATCCAGTTGGAAGCCGACAGCACCACCCAGGAGTTTAAGTTATACCACGGGAAGGGCGGCCTCTACATCGGAAAAGCAGTGTTGAAGAATAACGTCTTCGTCCTCGATTTCGTCCCCGACCTGGGCACTGCAGACAGCGACGCCATCGTCAACTTCACCGACTGGACTCATCCTCCGGATCTCGATCCCGACTTCAGCCCAGGAGGTTTCTGGTACTCGCACACCATCCCTGAAGCAGAACGAACACAAGCATTAGCAACGATTCAACAAACGACAGCAGCAGAGACAACATCGACAGCAGCAGAGACAACATCGACAGCAGCAGAAACAACATTGGCAGCAGCAGAGACAACATCGAAAGCAGCAGGACCAACGACACCAGTCATCGAAACACCACCAACACCCGCACAACAGCTGAACCCGACTCAACGAGAAGTCCACCGAAGCGCAAACATCGTCGCCAACTTCTACTCCAACTCTGACGCGTATCAACGCTCACCCGGACATCGCGCTCCTGAAGACATCTGGCACGCACGCACAAGACATCCAAGCAATGCGGTGTTAAACAACACGATACGAGCAGGATTTCTAGACAAGGATTCGCTACTACTACTCGACGGCAGAGAACTTCAACGTGCACGAGGGACTTGCCTCATCTGCCCCGAAGCCGACTTACCCCATCGACCGTTTTCCTCTCACCACAACCCGAGCGCACCTGCATACGCACCACTCGAGAAAGTTTACAGTGACATCCTCTACAATCGAGAACCAGGACAAGTCACCTACAATTACACGATCACCTTCATCGACGCCGCCACTCGATACGTCTGGCATCGCAACCTACCCAGCCGCGACATGGCACTCGCAGCATTCGCCGCTTGGCTACCGGTAGCAGAGAGGGAATCAGGAACACAACTGAAAAGCTTCCAGTCAGACGGAGGAGGAGAGTACACCTCTCAGCGCTTCAAGCAGTACCTGGCGGAAAGAGGGATCAAGCAACTCTCTCCCTTCCCTACGCACATCAGCAGCAAGGTGTAGCAGAAAGAATGAACAGGACTCTGCAGAACAGCATGCGCAAACTGCTACGTGGCATGCGGCTACCCAACCACCAGTGGCCTGCAGCAATGGACCATGCTGTCATGCTGCACAACTTGTTGTCGTCGTCGTCACTCCCGAACAACGCCTCACCGCATCTGCTGTGGACAGGGAAGCTGGGCAGCACAAGAATGTTACGAGTTTTCGGATGCATGGTACAATACAGACCCCCAGAAGCACGAGCGGGAAGATTTTCACAACGGGCACAGTGGGGACTACACCTCGGCATCGAAAAAAATTACAACGCGTGGAAAATCTTCGACGTCCACACAAAGGAAACAGTAGCAGCACGTGATGTGATCTTCTACGAGCGACTCACCCTTCAGACGTACCTCGCCAACTTGCACGAGAATCGGGACCTCACAGGTGGCTTTCGTGGTGACCGAGCCTTCGCCTCAGCAGCCGACGAAGCAGACTGGGATGAACAGAACGTCGACAACGCATCGGAAGAAGCCGGACCTCTCCCGTACTGCTCTATCGACGTGCCCATGGACGAAGAAAATCCTTGCGACAGTAACAACGCCGAAGTCTTCTATCACTTCGCCGACAACGGTTACGTAACACCTGCGACAGTCAACACAAATGAAGCAGAAAGGATAGGGCCAAATTTCATACCCGATCCAGAAGCAGGAGACGAAGCAGCTTATCCCGAGGATACAACACTCCCCCGATACTCACAGACTGGGCTGCAAATCCTTGGTCTCGTCACCGCAGTCCACGGGAACACAGGCAGCACGCTTCCTAAAGAGCCTGCGACGGTTCAGCAGGCTCTGGGGGGGGAACACATGGAGAAATGGCGTGAAGCCATGGACAGGGAATTAAAAGCATTAGAGGAACGCAACACCTGGAAGGTCGTTCCCGCAAGCGTGGCACGGAACAAGACCATTCTCACCGGGAAATGGGTCTTCCGCATCAAGACGAAAGCTGACGGCACAATCGAGAAGTTCAAAGCACGCTCGGCCGTGCGTGGATTCGACCAGGAGCAAGGACGAGACTTCACCGAAACATTCGCCCCAGTCTGTCGACATACCTCTCTCCGAATCCTTCTCGCCGTCGCCGCCATGAAGAAGAAGAAGCTGCGACAAATCGATGTTGCCAACGCATTCCTCTACGCACCCGTCGACGCCGAAATCTTTGTCGAACTCCCACACGGCACTCACGAAAATCCTAATCAGATCTGCCAACTACTGAAATCGCTCTACGGAATCAAACAAGCCCCGCGACTGTGGCAACAGCACCTACACACCCGCCTCACTCGCATCGGATTCCGCCAACTGGCTCACGACCAAGGAATGTACCGCCTCACCAAAGGCGCAGACTACATTCTACTGGTCGTCTATGTCGACGACTTGCTCTACATCGGCTCCACCGACGACGTCACCACCTGGTTCGAAGGGGAGCTGCAGAAAGACCTCACGCTCACGGTCTCTTCTACCGTGACCCAGTACCTCGGGCTCAACATCCGCGAAGAAGAAAATGCGATCTACCTAAGCGCCGAGAAATACGCCGACACCATCGCCAAACGTTTTTCACTCACACCTACCGCCATCGCCACACCATACCGCTACACGGCAGGAAACGACAAGGGAAATTCCGCTCCACTCAAAGCTGCCGGAATACAAGACTACCAAAGGAAACTCGGCTGCCTTCTCTTTGCAGCTGTCACCTGTCGCCCGGATCTATCCTACTCCGCAAGCCAACTCGCCACCTATCTCAAGAAATCCGAAGCAAAGCATCTGGCGGAGCTCGATCGCGCACTACACTACTTCGTGAGCACACCGACGATCGGCCTGACTTACTACAAAGGCGAAGCTACGACGACGAAACTAATCGGCTACGTCGATGCTGACCATGCCGGCGATTCTGATAACAGGCGCTCTCGCACTGGCTACGTCTATCGTCTCGAGCCTATCGGACCTATCTCCTGGCAGTCGAGTAAGCAGGAACTAATCGCTCTCTCTTCAGCTGAAGCAGAATATATCGCCCTCTGCTCAGCCACCAAGGAAGGACTCTACCTTCGCGAGCTGCTGGAAGAAGCAAAGTTAGCCGAGTTACCCAACTTCACCCTATTCTGCGACAACCAATCTGCAATTCGCATCGCCAACAAAAGCGGATTCGCGAACAGAACGAAGCATATCGCTCTGCGATACTTCTTCGTGAAGGACGAGATCGAGAAAGGGAAACTCGAATTATCCTACTGTCCCACGTCCGAGATGGCAGCCGATTATTCGACCAAGAAACTCGGAAAACAGAAGTTCGAGTACTGCATGATGCTGACCGGACAAGGCCACGTCACCATCAGCGACACTCCAGAAGCGAAGGGGAGTGTTGGGAATAATAAGTCTTAAGCGCATCTGTCGTGTCGAAACTCAGGACACTAGCGAAGCAGTCCGAATCGAAGCATCGCGAGTCAACCCTCGGAGGTTAGGGTAACCGCCTGGAGGTTACGAGAAGGTCAAAGGTCAGCGACCTTTGACTTGACAAATACAGCGCGACAGCAAGGACACACAACTGACTCGACATTGAGCAGTTGCCCGAGTCGCACTGTATCGAATCGCAACAGTAAAACGGTTTTAACTTATCTATTCGTATTCCTTGTACTCTTATATAAACCTTTGTATTTGCTTGTTTAATCAACTTACTTTGCCCTCATATACTAGCGCAAGGTGGTTCAAGTATTTTCATTCAAACGCTTCCGCTACTACAATTCTACTCAGACTTAAACTCTACAAAGATCCTAGGGCACTTCAGCCCAACAACCTCCCTGAAAATAAGGGCCGGAATTACAGCTGCTGAGGGGCTTAAGTTTTGGCCCCAGGGCTATCGACAGCCCTGAGGCAGAGTCGAACTGGGCGAGAAAAAAGGGGACCGAGGCTCGGAAAGTTGGCGAAAGGTGCGATGGCGACGCGGAAGTGGTTCGGGGCGAAAATGCATGCCGAACCAGCAGACACGAACCTTTCGGAAACATAAAAGGCTACGAGTCTACAGTTGATATATTTTCCTTAGGAATTATATATCCCTACATTTTCGAGACTGCTCGCCGATATCTTCTCGTAACGCGTACAGTTCCTCCTAACCGTTAGTGGAGCTTGACAAATCGAACCCCCAAACAACCACAACCAGAGGGATTTCACAGATTCGTGTTCGTAACATGCTCCGTACAGATCCGCTCTCACAGTCCGCCCTCACTTGAACTCGGCCCACACCAAGCCAGAACACCAAAGCTTGAAAGAATCTGGGTCGTCAGATAGAATCGGCTGCCCACCCCTCTTTTCCCCCGTGACGCGCCGTGATTCCGCTCTCGACGCCGCGAGACGCCCCGCGACATCAGCACGCTCGCATCGCCGCCATTCGAGCCCATCCGCGCCCGTTCCTCCGCCGTCACGTGACGCCAGCGGCCCCCGCTCACTTTCAACACCCGCCGACCTGCCCACTCCGCCCTCTCGCCGTCTCCGCCCTTCCCATCTGCGCCCGCCATGTCCGCGGCCGGCGCGGAGGAGCCTCTGCCATGCGTGCTGCTGCGCAACTGCACCATCGTGCAGGCGGGCGGCGCGGGGGTCGTTGCTGACGTGGACGTGCGCGCGGCGCAGCACGTGCTGGTTCAGGGCAAGCGAATCGCGTTCGTCGGAGATGCGCTGCCGTCCGACCTGCTCACGTCGCTGACGGCTTCGCGACCCCCTGTGGTGAGCCTCCTTGTACCGCGCCGCCCTCCCTGCCGCGCCCGCGCCGCACGCGCTTCTGCCAGCGCTGCAACCCCTGCGCGTGTATCTCACCTGCCATCTCGCTTCACCCGCATGCGCCCCTCTACTCCTTCCCCTCCGCTTCCCGCATGCGCCCTTCCCCTCTCTTCCTTCCCCTCCGCTGTCAGGAGTTCGACCTGGCGGGGCGTTATCTCCTCCCCGGCCTGTGCGATGCGCACGTGCACGTCACAGCGGCGGCGAGCGCAGATCTGCACGCGCTGGCGGCGCTGCCCGTGTCGCTGGTGGCGTGCCGTGCTGTCAGGGGGCTGCAGGCGATGCTCATGAGAGGCTTCACCACCGTGCGCGATGCTGGGGGGTGCGACCAGGGGCTGGCTCAGGTAAAAGAACAGAGAGGCGGTGATAGGGCTCAGGTGTTTAGGGAACAGAGGTCTTCTGCGTTCATTCTTTCCCACATCCACTTCCTCTGCCTTTTTCCTCGCCCCCCTACCTCCCTTACGGTCTTGCTTCCTCCATTGTCCCTCCGTTCCTCCCTCCACTTCTCTCTCCTTTCTTTCCTCCCCATCCTTCCTCCTTCCTGCCATGCAATCATGCTCCGTTTTCTTTCTCCTCCCTCCATCCTCAGGCAGTGGAAGAAGGGGCGGTGGAGGGCCCACGTATTCGCATATCAGGCCACACACTCTCCCAGACGGGCGGCCACGGGGACATACGCAAGCCCTCCCACCACACTGCCTTTCATCCTCTACCACTCTCCCCTTTCGCCTTTCATCCTCTACCACTCTCCCCTTTCGCCTTTCATCCTCTACCACTCTCCCCTTTCGCCTTTCCCGTCGTGTCTGCCCATCCTTCGTTTTCCTCTCTCCTCCATCTCTCCCTCCTTCAGGCAGTGGAGGAGGGCACAGTGACTGGTCCACGTATCCTCATATCAGGCCACGCCCTCTCCCAGACGGGCGGTCACGGGGACATGCGCAAGCCCTCCCACGACACCCTCCCCGTCGCCGCCCCCTCCTCCTTCTCCCTCTGCGCTTGTTCCTCCGCTGCTTCTGCCCTCGGCGGCCTGGGCATCGGCCGCGTCTGCGACGGCGAGGCTGAGGTTCGGCGGGCGGTTCGGGAGGAGCTTCGGCGGGGAGCGCGGCAGATCAAGTTGATGGCGTCGGGCGGCGTATCCTCACCATCAGATCGCGTGGAGAGCGTGCAGTTCTCGGAAGGGGAGATGCGGGCGGCGGTGGAGGAGGCAGAGGCGCAGGGCATGTATGTGATGGCGCATGCTTACACTGCTCGTGCGATTAAGCGGGCAGTGGCTTGTGGCGTTCGGAGCATCGAGCATGGCAACGTGAGTGACAGGCAACGGTTGTGGGCAGGTGAGGGATCAGGTGGAGAGTGTAACATTTTCGCAGGGGGGAGGGGACTTATGTGATAGCACATGCGTACACTGCATGTGAGTGTGAACAGGTGAGGGATCGCTTGGAGAGCATGTAGTTCTCAGGGGGGGAGATGCAGGCGGCAGTGGGGGAGGCGGAGGCGCAAGGGACTTATGTGATGGCGCATGCCTGCACACCTCGTGCGATCAAGAGGGCGTGTGGAGTGTGGTGCTCGCAGCATTGAGCATGGCAACGTGGGTGTGAATATGAGTGTGGATATGCGTTATATGCTCGGCACATCCCCGCTGCATCATGCTGAATCTTCCACATACTGCGCTTCTCCCATGAACCGCATGCCATATCTCTCACCTGCACATCACCCCCCCTCAACCCCCTCGTTCCCTTGCTTTCATGGCAGATGCTGGACGAGGAAGCAGCCGACCTCATGCTGCAGAGAGGAAGCTTCCTGGTGCCCACGCTGGTGACGTACGAGCGGATCAAACAGGCTGGGCAACAGAGCGGCATGGATGGCAGCATCGTTGCCAAGGTGCGCCGATTCATTCATTGGAGCCCAGTCAAAGGCTACCAAGGTCACTGCAGGTGGCGTTTTGAGTTGACTGAGAAGTCGCCTTGCTGCGCGGAGCAGGTGCTGCACGAGGCACGGTCAGTGCAGGCCTCTGAGCTGAGCGCTGCTCTCCACACTGCTCTTCTCCCGTACGCTGATTGCGTGTGGCCCCACCTCACCTTCGCTCGATGCCTTCTTCCCACCAACATGTCTTTCCCTTCTCCTGTGTGAGGCAGGTGCAAGACCTGCTAGAGAGGGGGCTTGAAGCCGTGGCGATGGCCGAAAGGAAGGGCGTGCCCATAGTCTTTGGCTCGGACCTCCTGGGCCCCATGCAGTCCCACCAGCTGCAGGAGTTAGCCATCCGCAGCAAGGTGCAATCACCAGCGTCGATTCTTCGGTCTGCTACAACTGCTGCTGCACGGCTTTTTGGCATGGAAGGAGAAATCGGGGTGGTGGTGGTTGGTGCGCTCGCGGATTTGATTGTCTTGGATGTGAATCCCTTGGAAGATATAAGCATATTGACGGATTCTAATAACCTTAAGCTGATCATGAAGGAGGGGACTGTGTTTAAGAGGGATATACCGTATACTCCCGGACAAAACACCCCCCCATAATTGTACACCCCCGGGTAGCTTGTGCAGGGTGGGTGTTATGATAGACCTCGTTTCTACTATACCCCCCCTTTTGGCTGATTTTCTATAACACCCCCCTTTTCTTACGGATTCATTATTATAGTCGTTAACGAGTAGCTGCAATACGGAAGAATATCGTGTGAATTTCTCCCTCAATGAAATTTCGCGGTACATTCAAAGGCAATCTGCCGAGATTTGCCCCCTCCCACTATTTCTCTGTTGCCACGTGCAGGTGAATCTTCCGTTGCAAGTGGCAGGAGAGGTGTCACATGGCATTTTCGTGAGGGCGATGAAGTTCGAGGCCGAAACTGACATTCGCACCTCAGGCAGTGATGCTAAAACGACCAGCAAAACACCCACATTGACTAATTAAAAGAACACTAACACTAAAATATGCCATATGTAAAGACCCGGGTATTATGTATTTTTTTCCTATGAGGAGACCCCCCCCATTTTTTCCCTGTATTTTTAGCTATACCCTAGGGTGTTATGTCCGGGAGAATACGGTATAGTCTGTGTCTGCATTTGTTTTAACGTGACTTGAATGATATTGTATCAGCCAATTTGCTATTTCTGCGTTTTTGTAAAGAAAATTCCTTTTCCTTACTTCGCGTCCCTGCTCAGTGTGTACACCACTGTTCCCGCCAACAGCACCTAACAGTAACTCGTTACTGTTGGAATTAAGGTTAATTCGGGTTGCTCCAATAAACATATGTAGTGGTACATCTACACTATAGTAGTGTAGAATACATTGGTTGGGTTGGGAGAACTTGTGGTGTACACTCTTTAGAGTGGACCACCTCCCAAACCCTAAAGGTTAGGGTTCTCTCTTGTTGGAACTTCACTTGGAAACTGTAAGGATTTTTCTCGATATTCCTTAGCGCGCCCTGCAACATCGCGTACAGCAGCAGCCGTTGTTCGCCCGTTACTGCTAACGGGGCTTCGCCAACTTCGCGCGCACTGTTTCACCAAACCTCGCACTGCTGGCCCGGCCGCGTCGGCCTACGCTTCGGGACTAGCCCGAACCTCGCTGCCAGCATAGCACTAGCTAGCTCGCACGCACCGCGTTACCGTTTGCACGTTTCGCGTATAAATGTTTGAGAAGAAGCGAACGAGAATGAGTGAACTATGAACGAGATGAGTACAAATAGGAAACCCTAATTGGGTTGTACCCCATATGGGATACCCCACGATAGCCTACACAAATAAGTAAGCTATAATGTTCTGACACACCCCCATAGGCAAAGTGGGGGAGAACAAGGGGTCACAAGACCAGTCAAGCAAAGCAAAGCAAAGCTCAGGGTGGATCACAAAGTCACCACACAATCCGAGCGCAAGGTCAAGGGCCACAAGGCCAGTTCGCATGCAAGATCATATACAGAGATATACAAGAGTCAGGCAAGCAAGAGCAAGAGTATATATAGGTCAAGGTACAAACAAGGTCAAGAAGTGAGCAAGTGAGGCAAGACAGGCACAAGACCCAGCTGCGTGCAGCAACGCTGATGATCACAAGGCGCAAGTGCCTTGGTGAAGACATCAGCAGTGTTGGCCTCAGAGGCCACGTACGCAAGTCGCAACTGTCCACGCTGCTGCAGCTCACGAGCAAGGAAGTAGCGGAGAGCAATGTGCTTTGTCATGTGCTCCAGTCGCTGCTCTCGACACAAGGCCAGCATGGCCTTGTTGTCTACGTACAGGACTGGAGGAGAACGAGGCGTCTCTCCAAGGTCGGTCAGCAGGTAGGTGAGCCAGCGAAGCTCCTGAGCAGCCATAGCCCCGGCGTAGATCTCAGCCTCACAACTGGAGCCGAGAACAGAAGACGAGCGAGTAGCCCGCCACGAAACAGAGCCGGAACCAAGGCCGAAGGTGTAACCCTGTGACGACCGCTGCGTAGCCTGGTCGTCAGCCCAAGAAGCGTCCACGTGTCCAGTGAGGACCACTGGACTGCGCCCTCCAAGCACTAGCCCCATGCCCGACGTACTGCACAAGTAGCGCACCACCCTCTTCGCTGCAGCCATGTGCTCTGGTCGGTGTCTCCCACGAGCAACATAGCGTGCGAGAATGCTGAGAGGGTATGCAAGGTCAGGTCGTGTGCAGGTCATCAGGTACATGAGGCAGCCAACAAGCTCTGCATACGGGCCACTCGACTCTACGGACTCATCCGAAGGCAGAGCTGAGAGCGAGTGGCGAGTAGGCAGAGGAGTGGCCTGAGGCGAGGAGTACGTGAAGCCGAAGCGCTGAAGGACCTGCTGCACCATGTGTGACTGAGTCAGGGTAATGGTGCGGCGTGCTCTGTCCCGGGTGATCTGCAAGCCAAGGTAGCTGCGCAGTTCACCCAGGTCAGTGCACGTGTGTCTCTTCTGCAGCTCAGACTTCACGTAGGCGAGTCCACCAGTGTCAGCTGTGGCAAAGACCAAGTCGTCGACGTACACGAGGATGTAGAACGGCGGCAGAGAGGTGTCGGTGCGCAGAAACAGCGACGGGTCGGCAGTAGAAGGAGCAAACCCAAGTGCCGCCAGCGTAGTCCTCAGTGTGTCGTGCCACTCAGGTGGCGCCTGGCAGAGACCGTAGACTGGACGCCGGAGACTCCACTGGGTACCAGGAGGGAAAGACCCAGTGAAGCCAGGTGGGCGACGCAGCCAGATCTCCTCGTGCAGGCTGCCCTGCGAGAAAGCTGTGATGAAGTCGAGAGAGTGCAGCTCGTAGTCACGGTGAACAGCAACGTGCAGCAGTACCCGAAGAGTGGTCATCTTCGGGGTGGGGGAGAAGGTCTGAAAGTAGTTAACCCCCTGCCGCTGACTGAAGCCACGATCCACGTAACGCGCCTTGAAGACAGGCGGAGAACCCGGCGGCCGCTTCACCCTGAAAATCCACATGCCACTGACGATGTTCGCCCCAGGAGGGGGAACAGCGTCGACGTAGGTGCCTGTGGACTTCCAGGAAGCCATCTCTGCATCCATAGCTGCCTGCCACTGAGAGGAGTAGGGACCCTCTATCGCCTCCGCGTAAGAGCGCGGAGTCGGGATGTCTAGTGCATCCGGGTCTCCCTCAGGGGCTAGCAGTACAGACGCAAGATGAGGTGAAGCGGCAGCCAGACACTGGAACTCCTCCTGCCTGTCCTCAAGGACGTCCGTGCCAAGGGCACACTCACCCCCGACGGACGGAGGACAGGCAGACTCAGACTCAGCGACAAGACTAGCAGCGTAGTCTAGACGACAGCGCGCAGCAAAGTCGACGAGCTCAGTGACAAGGGCAGACGCAACAGAAGACTCGAAAGAAGGGTTAGTGACAGCAGTAGCAAGAAGACGCGTGACAGTAGGACTGGCAGCACGAAGAGAGTCCGACTCCGGGTCGGCAAGAGCAGGAAGAGAGGAAGCAGGAGGAGAAGGCAAAGGGGCACGCAGAGGAGCAGTAGACGGACGCAGAGACATCCGGTGCGTGCCAGGGACAGGAGGAGGACGTTGACGCGAACCACGACTACTAGTGCGCGCAGTACGAACAGGCGACGCAGGACGAGACGCAGGCTCACGACGCTCAGTAAGACCTCCAGTCGGACCAGCGTAGGGAGAAGGAGCAGGCAAAGGTGAGGTAGGCTGTAGCTGTGACTGTGACGAGACAGGCTGTGGGCCCTCTAAGGGAGGAGGAGGAGGACCAGGAGGTGTAAGACCAAGAACCTGCTGCAGGAGCGGAACGAAGTACGGCCGGGGCCGCGCGGCGACGCCAGAAACAGCAGGGACAGCACCAGTACCCCCAGAAGGAGTACCCGCTCCAGCAGCACCTCCAGTAGCTCCGGAACCTCCAGCAGCACCACCAGGAGCACCACCAGTCGGACCTCCAGCGGCAGTCTCAGCGTCAACACCCTCAGCAGCACCAGCTCCAGGAGAACCCTCAGACCCTGCAGCTCCAGCACCCACAGTACGAGCACCGCTGGGACGCTCGGCATCACTACCCTCTGCAGTCGAAGAACCTCCAGCACCAGCAGCACGCCTCCAGCGCCTGGCAAACCACTCACGTAGCTCCTGAGGGGAGAGTGGCTCTCGGCGAGACGCAGCACCTCCAGGCGGAGCACCCCCAGTCACAGCACCTCCAGGCTCAGCACCCCCAGGCTCAGCACCCCCAGGCTCAGTACCCCCAGGCACAGCACCCCCAGGCTCAGCACCTCCAGGCTCAGCACCCCCAGGCTCAGCACCCCCAGGCTCAGCACCCCCAGGCTCAGCACCTCCAGACTCCGCACCCCCAGGCTCAGTACCCGCAGGCGTAGCACCTCCAGTCTCAGCACCCCCAGGCTCAGCTCCCGCAGCAGCACCAGAGTCACCAGTGACCTCGACAGGCTCGACCGCGTCTACCTGGGACACACCTGAAGGGGCAGGACCCTGAGGGGGGAGGGGGTCTACGGGGGGGGGACCTGGTACCAAGAAGAGCGGGGGCGGGGGGAGGGACGGAGTGCGGTAGGGGAAGAGGCGGTAGTAGGGTACCGACTCGTCGAACGTGACGTCCTGGGAGGATAGAACACGCCGAGAGGTGGGGTGGTAGAACTGCCACCCAGGGGCGTCGGGGGGGAACCCCAGGAAGACGCAGGGAGCAGCGCGAGGGGACAGCTTGTCCGCAGACAAGTCGCGGACAAACGCCCGAGATCCTCAGACCCGGAACGCCGACGCATCGCCAACCTTCCCCGTCCACAGAAGGGCTGGGGAGGTCTCCGGCCTGGAGACCCTGGGGTGGAGGTTGATCTGATGCGCCGCGTACCTGACCGCAAACGGCCACAGAAAATGGGGGGCAGCCGCATGCATCATAGACGTACGAGCGACGTCCATGACCATGCCAATGCGGCGCTCTGCAATCCCATTTTGCTGCGGTGAGTCCAGACGTGAAGGTTTGGCGGATGCCTCGCGCACGACAGAAGGCATGCAGAAGGCCAGAGGAGAACTCTCCGCCTCTGTCCGAGTGCAGACGCAACACAGGAAAGTCCGAGCCAAAGCTCTGCCTGAGCTGGAGACGAGCTGCGCGGATCCAGTCGATCAGCACCTCAGTGACATCACCCTTGCTGCGCAAGGGGAAGACTGTGGTGTAACGCGAGAAGTCGTCAACCAACAACAGGAAGTAGCACTCGTGACCGAGTCCACGGACGCGGGCAGGGCCCCACACGTCCATGTGAAGCGTCTGCAACGGAGCCTCTGTCGGAGGAAACTGGGAGGAGTGAGGGGCAGCACGCTGGCGCCCCTCGACGCAGGGGACACAG